GGAGGGGGAATTGAAACTCCCTCTTTCTAGAACAATGCATTCAGGGTAGAAACAACTCGCACGCAAGGCAACAAGTACAAAAAATAATCAGGAACCGATTTGATTTGTTAATGCCTGAATATTATCACAAAGCAAACAAAGAGAGGAAAGCAAACCAATTTCTCTTAAAATATTGAGAAAGATCCATAGAATGTGACTTCTACATTGTTGTTCTCAATGCAAGGTGGCTGAAATTAACAGCATTGTTGGCTTCCTCTTTAGCTGGCAAAAACACATCCTTGACAAAAAAGGCCAACAAATTCATGCGAAAAGCTTTGATTTTATTTTGAACCCTGGGATATGATGTCTATAAATGCTTCAGTGGTATTAGTTTGTCTGAGTAAAAGATACCCATTCTTCGTACTCAAATAACATATCTTTGACTGGTAAATTTTTGCATACCTCTGTGTTTATAAAATTGCTAATTTTGCTTCCGCGCTCCAACGTCCCACAGCCTTCTTTGACTGTTTTGCAGCAACTGTCTGGGTATTTGTAGTGATTTCCATCAGTGAAATGTGAAGTCCACCAATCAGTATAATTAAACCAGCCACAGCATTTTTCCTTAGCAAATAGAAAAGTAAAGTTTAGTCTGGTGGGCTTAAATTGAGAAACAACAAAAAACTGTGATTTGTACCTAGTGGGGGTGGGAGATTCCAAAAGTTTGGGGGTGATCATTGTCTCACTTACAGGTATAAATCAAGGATTCTGGTCTCACTTACAGTGTTATGATGAAACACCACTATTTTAGCTGTCAAAGTATCTTTTAGGGTGCACTCAAAGAAACAATAATTTAAAAAAGGCTCTTATTTCCATTTCTGGGCTCAATTTCTGCCGCTCTCTCGAGTCCGGTCTACTAGTGAGGGCTCCTTTCCTGAACAGCGGGTGGTAATTAGGGGTTTAATTCAAATTGTCCAACAAGCATCCCGACCCTTTTCATATGGGAATCCCCCCTAGTGACCATTAGGCAACAACGAAAAAACTGTGATTCTTACAAAACATCTCAGGGAAAGAGAAAACAAGGACTAGAAAATTTCAAGCAAAATGATGAGTTGGCCATCCACGATTGCAAAATGCCATTGCCAAAGGTTCGTTTTGTGACTGGTGTATCTTTTAGCGCCAAGAATCACTTCCCCAAATGGTCAGTGCTTGCAAGTGAATTGCCCATGGAGATGAAACTTCAAATTGTGCTCACTGGATTCCCTTGAAGTGAAATTTTGTTAACTTTTTGTTTCATTGCTGACTTGCCCAATTGTCAAATGATAATTTTCACCTGCAAGATCATCTTGCAGTTTCAGGCCCTTGTGACTGTTTTAATTAAAATTGACCAGACTTGTTTGTGAATGAGGTTTATCAATTTCTGAAGAAGTGTTAGGTGCTATATTGCCAAACAGGAGAAGTACTTCCAAGCTATTTATGAACTTGCTGAAGTTTTTAAAGGAAAATTAATTGATGTAGCGAGTTTGTTAAGCTGACATTTTTTTCTGCTGAAATAAATAAGTGTATGAGGAGTACTGCAATGATAGAAACTACAATTTTCCATTTCCAACCGATTCTTGCAGTTTGTCAAATCCTTTGGTGGTTCCCTCG